CAACTGGTTTGGGAGTCATTGACAAAAAGCTCGTTACATGGGTAACTTAGAAAGCCTAAGGAAACTCGACCTATGAAAAAAAAAATTGAGGAAAAAAAAAAAGATAGTAATAAGTGCTAAGGTGTGAAGGTTTAAACTTGAAACTTCTTACTATGAATTTCCACACACACACTAAGTGCTCATGGACTAAATCTTTTAACAAGTGGTGTGAAGAATAAAATGAAGTATTTTACTTTAAGTGAGCATATGAGAACTTTTGAATATTTGAGACTTTGTATCTAATTGAACTTTAATTCCTAAATGCTCTTTGCATGCATATCATGTAGTTACATTCTTGCATTGGGATTTTGTGGGTAGATCCACTGCAAACCCTCACGAGACATAACTCGTCCACTAGGGTGACCTAGGGGTTTAAAGGCTTGTTGCACATGCTAAGTGCAATCGTGATTCCTACGAAAGTGAGTTAGATTTTATTTTTGTTTGTTTTGTCTTTTTATTTTACTCGAGGACGAGTAAAACTTAAGTTTGGGGGAATTTGATGAGCTAAATTTATATAAATATTAATAGGGAATTTTTACTTTGATATTATTGATATTTGGATGAGTTTTATAGGATTTTGTTTGATTTTACATGGTTTTCATTCTTTGTGTAGGAAAGGATTTAAGTGGAAGAAATCTTACTTTTTAGAAGTAAATTGAAGAGATCAGAGACTTGAGGATCAACTTGTGCAGAATCCAAAAGTCAGGAACCAGATCTGCCATTTTACCATTGAAGAAATTGCAAAAGGAGGCCAAAAACCCGACACGGGTGTAGTGTCGACACATTATCGGGGTGTCGACACCATGCGCTAAACGTCCAAAATCAGATTCTGTTTCCTATTTTGTGTCAACACGTAATCTGAAGTGTCAGCACCACGCGATCAGCATCTAAAATTCAGTTTCCTATTCCTATTCAAAGTCCTACTTCTATTTCAATTAGGGTTTCTAAAATCCTATAAATACCCATCTAAATTCAGAATGAAGAGAGCTTTGAGAGGCTGGTGGCAACCCTCTTTTGGGCATTCTTGGAGGTCAAGATAGAGGATTCAACAATAAAAAA